ACTCTGATTCTACAAGTGTTCACCATTGTTGAAGTGAAGGCTTTTAGGGTTTTCTTGGCTAATGGAATTGGAGAAAGCTTTTTGTAGATTTTGCTTGTATTGTGTGAGAGCATCTCTGTGTGGGTGTTCATATATATAGAGGTTAATAAGGAAAAACACAAGTTGGAATTGGAATAGGAAGAGGAATAAGAATAGTTTAGTATATCGTAAACTGATTGGATATATTATCAACAATTTGACATCACATGCAATCTCAAGGCGTATCTATAACAGTTCTCATGACATAATGAATATCTGTCTATTTAACTTATCCAAAATAAAATTTGAAATCAGTTATGCATATTCTTTTATAAATATTTTTTTTTAATAAACTAGGATATGGAAAAATTTGGAAAAAATCAAAATTTGTAATATTTTTTAGTCATAAAAAACTTATTTTTGGAAAAAAATAATTCAAATATTTGTACGGTTTTCCATAAATTAGTGTGGTCTAGATTTTTCAAATAAAAAATTAGAATCCAATACTCATTTTAAATCACACTTAAAATTTTAAAAGTATAATTTAGAACTGCTAGTAAAATAATCCCTATAACCATTTGAATTTTCGCGGCTGCGGTTTAATATACGTGACTACAACTTTATAACTTAAATAATTTATGGCGTTTTTTGATTAAATCGCTTTATAACCACGAATATTAAGGCGCAAGTACGAACATGAAAGTATAAGGATTTTTTTTACTAGTATATACGTGTTACTTTTGCATCGACTGTTTTATTATATGACATGTAAGTGCTAATTAATCAGAGGCTTAGCCTTCGTGGATAGAGATTCAGTTTGTGTCCGTGTAGTTGTAATTTGTAAAGAAAGAAGGAAAAAAAAACATAACACGATGAAACATATGTTTGGACGTATTTCTTATGTATGTACAGTACTTAGGATCTTGTTGTCACATTTGACTTTTTTTTTGAAGTTAGAAAATACTCAAAATAGGTAACAATTGTTTGAGTTTGAAAAGAAAAATGTAAATAATTTTAAGTGGAAAAAAATAAAATTTGAAAAGACACATGTTACATTATGAATGTTTGTAAAATCAATTTTGGGTGTTAGAAGTTATTAGGAATGGTCCAATAATTGCAACAAAAAAGTCAAAAACTTTCTAAAGACCACAAACGTTGAGCACATGTTCGTTCATTGAGACAGAGAAAGACCTGAGGCTGAGATGGGCACATGTGTTTTTGTCATGTTCATCTAATCTCTTTATACACAAGAGATACAATGATAATACTTTGTATTTTTGATGCATACCTTGGATACTGTAAATTTATTTCACTGCCAATTTATAACACATTACTAAATTGTTAAATTCTTGTTGTTGACTTCTATGTTCAACCATTACCTATAAATAGATTTACCTTTAAAAGAAAGTATTAGAGTTTTAAAGTGCCATATTGCTTGGGATAAAGATCTTTGGGCAATATATATATAGAATGTGGCATTCCTTTTCTCTTGAGCTAGTTTTTAGGATTAGTTAGACCACATTATTAATATGGTATCAGAGCCATGTTAAAGCCCAACAAGCAATTTCTCATAAAAATGGTTTTTCCACCTATGTGGCTCCATATAAGTGGCATGTCTTGTTGTGATATTTCCGAGATGTTGGGTTCGGACAGTTTCAGTGTTGGACCGTTTCCCACCCACATCTCTAGAGAGTCTATTAAAGTTCTAAAGTCCCACATTATTTGGATAAAGATCTTTGGGCAATATATATAGAATGTGGCAATCTTTCTCTCTTGAGCTATCTTTTGGGATTAGTTAGATCACATTACTAATAGGAAGCAAACAAAACAAAGAAGAACATCCTAATACAAATACAATGTGGTTTTGTGACATTGTAATACAAATACAAAATATGAAGTTTTGACCATGTTCCGACCATCAAAAGTTTTACTTCTTCCGACCATCAAAAGTTTCTTATGGCTAATTCTAAGTTTATAACCCGAAATTTAGGATGTGTCGGTGGAGGATGGCTTCATCATAATTCATCATGAAGTTCAATGATATTGGGATGTGACATTTTTGGCTACACAGCTCATTGGTGCCATGAAGCTGAAGCTTAACTTCTATTCATATGCTTCGAGGAGGATTGTCAAATTTTTTTTTATCAAGACGTTTCAAAGATTTAAGGAGGACACGACACTTACTAATTTGTGCAAAGATATTAAATAAAATTCCTCTCGCATCTAAATTTCAATTTATTTGTTTCCATTATATCAACGTAAAAAATAATTTGCTACAATATAAAGTAATTTGATAGAAAACGTTGTAGAACTTTGAAGTTGTTAAGGATTGGACAACACAGATTTTACTCTGTTTTATGTCTCTCTTCTCTTGTTAGACACTCAACGTATAATTTTTGATATAAACGAAAACAACACACTTTTATTAGATACATAAACTGTATTTATAGATTTGACACACTTTGACTAAGGGACACGTCTCTAAAAGACACTCCAATGTAAAGACACAAACACACACGTAACTGTTTTGTAGTTAACAATTTCTACTCGTGTCTCTTCGGTATGTGATACGAATAGATTATATATAATTATAAACCAGTTACTTAACTATATAATATATGACTCTCCTAAGATAATAAAATAAGGGAATGTTGCGTTGTAACACCGTTTATGTGTCTTATGTTTCATATTAACACCCTTTCGTGTATAGGCACCGTTTTTGCCTTACTTTTGCACTGTAGACACACAATTTGGACAATTATACCCTCCCAATTTAAACAGATCAAAACAAAATCCAAACCAAACTGGTTAGATATAATAAAATCTTAGTCGTCCGATGCTAATGAAAGGATTTAGATCGGGTGGCTAGAGATATATGTGTTTTTTTGTTAGGTTTAGTGCTACTTTTTTTTTAACAATTAAATTATTTGTATCTTGCCCAAAAAAAAAAAATCCTTTGCATCTTCAGTTCACGATTATCATCAGATTTCCATGAGAGTGATCCATAATCTTTAACAGTGACGAACTTGACCACTGTCAAGCTTAAGCTCACAAACCCCATCCACTCTCAGCCCAATTAACCTTCGTTCCAGACCCATCTTTCTTCTTTCTTGTTCCTCTTTGGGTCAAATCAAAATTCAAATTTTGAAAAACTTAAACATCCAAATTCGATTAATTAAATTGAAGAAGAAGAAGTGATACATGGTGGAAGAAGAAGCAGCAGTGCAAGTGAGTTGAGAAGATGAGTTTCTGAGTCGGTGAGATTGGTGGTGGAGGTGAACTCTGCGAGTGAAGGTATCGAGTTTTGGAAGTGATGATTTCATAAGAAATGTTTTCAAGTTTTTGTTGTGGATTTGATACTGTGAATGTGATGCGATGTGGTGGATGCAATATGGTGGATACGATGTGATATGGTGGTTTGATGGTTACGATGTGGTGGATATGATGTAGTTGTGTGAAAGTTATCGATAAAGATCATGGATGTGCTTGGATGGCCAGCAGGTAGAAATGATTGTGTGGTAGTTTTCAATGTAAGGTTTTCATGTGTTCATGTACAAACAAGAACTACTCTAAAACAACAATGAAAAGAAGAATACGTTAACAAAGGAAATGTACAACTCAACAACAATACGTTAACAAACAAGATTTACTCTAAAACAACAATAATTAAAGTTTTTTGCAGGAAGATATGTCCACAAAGATGAAGTCCACAAAGCTGAAATCCACAAATTGTTGTCCATAAAAGATGAAGTCCACAAAGCTGAAATCCTCAAATTGTTGTCCATAAAAGTTAATGATCTATGCAAATTTTTCGGGTAAATTTGCAGTAGGAGATAAAATTGATTTTGTACGTTTCCATATACAACTTTAAAGAGGTACAAAAGCCTCAAATCTCAAGATTATTCTAAGCTAAACACCAAAGTAAGTAATTCTGTGTAAAACATGAAATTCTCACAACCAAAACGCTTAAGTAAGTAGTTATTTTGTTAAGTAACTTTGTAAAACATTGTATGATTGTGATGGAATTTAAAGTGTGTGTCCACATGGATATGTATACTTGGACATGAAAAAGTATACACATCTATTAATCTTTGATCAAGAAGTCTATGATTTCATATTTTAGTACGACGGATGAATTTTGTTTACCGACCATCCAACAATAACACATGATTAAAATTAACTTGAGATCAAAATCCAGAAACTAAACAAACCAAATTCAAAATCAAAATTCATCTATAAACAACACAAAAAACATTACAACCCAAAAAAAACTACAGATCTATTAGCAAACAGCTACACCAAATCATTCTTCTTTGTTGGAATCGCTAAAAGCGTCCACGCCGGCACCACCACAATCACAAAGCAAATTAAGATTTGAAGTGTCTCTATCACTGATCTCATGGATCCGACCCGTATAAAACCGATCCATGAGAAAGTTCTAACGGAGGAAAGTTCCATTATACTCCTCAAAACTTTTGCCGGAAAGGGCTTATGGGATGAAGCGGAGAGATGATGGGGCGGCGTCAACGGATTATTCGAAGTTGTGGAAATGGAGCATCGAAGCAAAATTGGACAAGACGGGACTCGTTTCAGAGAGATAAGTTTGTGTCTTTCGGTGAGTTTGGTGAATTTAGGAGATGGAAGAAGAGTGAGAGCAAAGGATTGGGTTTAGAGTTGTAGTTTTGGTTTCTGTGCCTCTAATAGATTGAGGAAGAGAGAAAGAGAGAGAGAGACTTTATTTGGAATAATATTTTTATTGATAAATTAAAAGATGAAAAAATCAAAGGCGTGGATGATTTATTTGGGAGAAATAAATCACTAGTTGGATAAGAAGATTTAGTTGACAGATGTTTAGTTTAAGGGTATAACAGAGAAAACAGAAAGAGAAAAGGTGTGAGTAGCAGAAAAGGTGTTAGGTTGCAATAAGAAACTGGAAACGGTGCTAGAGAGCAATTATTTCATAAAATAACATGAAGACTTGATCACTTCCAACAAACGTTCCTATAACATATCAAGTTGTATTAAACCAAAAAAAAAAAAACAAATCAAGTTGTATTACATACTCTCCATGTATCAAGGCTAACACCATATATGTTTGTTTGTACCATGATATATATTCAAAGTTATTAATAAAGATATATTAAGAAAATATATCCATTAAATCGAAAAAAGTGGACAAAGTCATTATACAAAAATTCGGATTTACATATTTCATTGAGTATATCGAGACCTAAAATACAAAACCCTAGATCAAGATGCTTGCAGAAGAAGTTAAAGTACAAACTATCTATCGAATCACCATGGTCGAATCGATTGAGTGATTTTCATAGGATTAACATGAGGATATGGTGGAAGTGGAGGAGTATCATCATCTTCCATCATTTTAAACAAGTAACTGAGACGTGCCCTATCAGCTCTCTCAATCTCATCAAGTGTTCGGTGGTGGTGAACATGATCTTGACCTTGACCTTGACCTTGTTGAAGAGGGATGCGTATAGAAGAAGAAAGAGTAGACTGGTTGATGAAGAGAAGGAGGATCATGATGCTGATGAAGCTGATTCTGCAAGTGTTCACCATTGTTGAAGTGAAGGCTGTTAGGGTTTTCTTGGCTATGGAATTGGAGAAAGCTTTTGTAGATTTTGTTTGTAATGTGTGAGAACATCTCTGTGTGAGTGTTTCATATATATAATTATATATAGAGGTTAATAAGGAAAAACACAAATTGGAACTGGAATAGGAAGAAGAATAATAATAGTTAGTTATTAAGTGCAATCTCAAGGCGTATCTAACAGTTCTTACATAATGATTACTGTTGTGCATATTTTTTTTTTTAAAAATAAACATTAGGATAAGTAAGACTTAAATA